CCCCCTTGGAATTGATTTTTCAATACAGCCCCCCCCCCCCCTCCCCCCCTCTAAAATCAATTCTCTCCTGGAGATCGTCTTCGTGAGCCTCTCATGATTTCAGGATAGTTGAAACCCTCTTGAACATTCAGAAAGAGTGAATATGAAATTCTAATCACGAAAGGTGTTCTGTGAAGCACGTCAATTCTCTCCTGGGGAGCGTCTTCGTGAGCCTCTTACGGTTTCAGGATAGTTCAAATCCTATGATGTTCCGATTCAATGCTCACCGATGATCTGAGCCATGGGGCAAGTTTGTTTTCCTAAGAATCATTTTGAACATTTCGAGAGCACATGTTTGAACATTTAAAGTGCATATGAACATATATGTACGAAAGGTCGCCTCCGAGGGGATAAATCACCATGTCGAACATTGCATTTTTGTTCCTGCCTCTCGCGTTCTCTTCTCTTCCCGCTGTCCTACCTTTCGTGTCTCCCTCCTCTCAAGTTGAGATGCTGACCGGACCATGAGGGCGGGCTCACAGCCCCTGCGGAAGAGACCGGGCCGTTCGCCTGTTGGGTCTGGCCGTTTGAGGAGGTTCGCTGTATCGAAAAAACATGTTGGTGTCAAATTTCACCCATAAGTTCTGCTAAGCTGCTAGGCCAACTGAGGCCAAGAAACAAAGCCTTTCAGAAGAATTGGGAGCTTCGGGCCTCTTCGCCCTGCAAGAAGCTGCTCTGGTGGTGTCTCTCCAACATTGCCGCCCGGAGAGACGTCTTGATGTACTGGGGGAGGTTGCTGTGAAATAGGCACTGGCACAGAAATAGGCGCATCGCACAGTGATGGGTTTTATGATCTTCTAGAAACCGGAGTCCATGATGGTTGTACAACTGACAAAGCAAAACTGATATTCCTTCATGATGGTATTTAAAAGCTGATAAACCAGAGATCGTAGGTTTATCAGCTTTTATCGCCTGTTTGTCATCAGCTCCGTGGGGCCCCAGGAGAGTCTGAAATGCCCGGTTCCTGTGGCATGGCCGGTAGGAACTGGCCTCCTACAGTAGCAGTTGATTCCACTAAACCCGACATACCGTCGATCAGTGGCCTTTGCAAGTTCATCACGCATCGTAGACATGGACCAACCGAACAGGCGATATCCATTGTTCCTAATTCTGTCCTGCATGGATGGATCCCCACCTGGTCTTCTTGCTTGGTGCGGTAGGTTCCAAACCAGACATGCCAGACTTGTTTGCTGGGGAGCCTTGCCAAGGCAAAGATGTGACCCAGCAGTGGCACGAAAGCATGACTCTTGGTGTCCTCATGGGAAAGATGCCGCTCATGGGATCATGACCGATCGGTTGGGTTGGGGTGGTTGATTTTAAGGGTCAATGCTTTTTTCTAGTGTCTTTTGGTTTTGATTGTTTAAAGGTATGTCATCAGTTATGTAATCATATTCCATTTATTGGTGTGCTGGAGCTTGGATTGAGACGTCCTCAAGTCCTGTCAGATATGGCAGGGTCCTTGTTTCTGGTTTGAGCAGGAGGTGTTGGTCCACATGTGGTTGACAAAAGAATCTTAGGAACTACGTCGAGGCAATGCTCCGCAACCAGTTGATTGCCGCCATCGGAAAAGAAGTGACCGTTGCAGACTTTGCGGCATACATGCGCTGCTTGGCAAGACACCAGGCCAGTAGGCAGAATTATATTCCCCACCCAGCAAGAGCGAGTAAAGATTCAATCACTCCTGGGTGAGATCTCGGAGGTAAATGGGCCCAGGTTTGGTCAAAGCGACTGCAGGTAGTGCCGAAAGTCTTTATCTTGCATGCAGCATGCGGATCAAGGTTTGCATATATTGTACAGACGCACCATCGCTTCCTGAAACTCTGCTTTCTTTGGCCCTCCGATTCCCTCGCCGTGTATACTGTATATACACCGGATCCTCATAGGTTTGGTGTTTCGAACCTAGATGTCAACCATAGGATTATATTTGGACCATGCATCTACCATCAGGTCCAATCTTGTATTGATATTCTATACCAGCGTTATTAGGAACTACGCCTGGCACAAGGCAACACAGGCTGACCATTTGCACATGCAAAAGGGGATGTATGATATAATTATGCCCGATGAACAGTCCAGGGCGTTAGAACTTCAGTACCATCCAGCACACCCGAAAAGTTCAAAACAAGTCATTTTCCCAAGTTTCTACTGTCTTCCTTCCTTCCTTCCTTCCTTCAAGTTTCTATTCTGGCCACTTCCCTCAGTGTCGGCCTCAGAGGCTTCCACTACCGGAAGCTCTTCCAGGACTGAGATGGATTCAATGACAAAGTTGCATTGAGTTGGTGGGTGTCTAATGGATGTTGGTATTTATTTTTAGACCCTATTTATAATACACACGTGTATATATATATATACATTGTGTGTTTGTGTGACACCCCGTCTCTAGAGCGATTCACCTCCTCATCTCTTCACTTTTCATTAACCACTATTCAGATCACCCCTAGCGTGTAATCTAGTAATCCACAACAGGGGGACACAGCATTTCACAGACTGGGTTCAACGAAGCTACCAGTGAAATGGGAAATCATCCAGCTTGGTTAGCTGGGCGTACCTGCCATGATTTTCCCCGTTTATATTTCACCTAAACTTGCTTCCGACCTTTCGCCACCTCTGTCTCAAGTGAGAGTGTGTGTGTGTGTGTGTGTGTGTGTTTTTGATACCTTACAACAAACGAAATAAAGGTATCCTAACCTAACTTATTCCCTTCAGCCAGCCAGCTTTCACAAAGAGTGGATGTCCAAACTAAGTCCACAATAAAGGCCTGGCTCGGTCGCCAGGACGCCTACATGCCAGCGCCCTTCAGCTTCGCCGTGCGCCGCTCCGAGCAGCATTCCCCCGAGGGCACCATCTCCATCGAGGAGCTCACCACTGTGGGCGGCGGCTCTGGTCCTGCGCAACCGGTCTGCAGCATGTCCTCGACTGGGCGAGCACAAGGCCCAGCTGAGGATAGGTGAGTGTTCTTTTCACAGGACTGATGATTTGTGAGTTCCATAGGTGAACATGAACTCGGATCATACCGCTTTTTTTTTATGTGTGGCCACTGGATAGCTGGAAAACGGTAGGATGGGAACGGAAATCTATATCCGTGTTTATAGGGAGGTGCCTGGTTTCCGGGTGGATCTGTGTTGTGCGGGCAGCACTTTTGAACTCCGCATCCAGATTGTGTGGGCTGCTCCACTGACTGGGATGGGAAGATTCAAAGTGCCAGGCATGAGCTTTGCGTTAAACGCCTCAACTTCGGTGTCCTTCTCGGGCGATGTGCATCTCCATGCGTGGCTCGCGCATCAGTTTTCGGGCCAGAACGCCGCAAGCCTGTCGCTGGTGTCTCGCGCGCGGCAGTTTAGCAGCTTCATCGTGCTGGTGGGCCGCATCATTTCGGCCACACAGTTTGATCCCAAATATGCTGTCCTGGTGCAGAACAAGGACGAGCGACTTTGCTCTTAAGAAGAATGCAATTTCTATTTAAACACGCCAACACCTCCAAGCTTCTGAAACGGTTCGCGATCTTTTCGAATCAGATTCACTCGCAGCCGTAGGTCAGAGCTCTCAACCGAGGCTGGAGATCCCCCTGGAGCTCTCAACGATCCCCACGCCCAAGGAGTTTAAAGATGCCATCGAGCTGCCCGGCTAAGCGCTCACTCGCAGATGCCTGAACTCAGGGTGGCCACAGGAGGAAAAATGTGGCCACAGGACTCATTGACTCATATTGATTACTTCTTGCGGGGGCATGATGTGTAGATCTTGTACTCATACGTCCTCATGTCACTGACCACTATGGCACACGTAATTGCATGAAATTACTGTAGTGACTGTAGTGCAAGGGTCCTTCGTTTGTGGTTGGAAGCCATTCTGAACTTGGGAAGATGAGTTTCTATTCTATGGTGCTGCTTTGTTGTGTTGAAACGTCGTGGATACTTGCTTGGAGTAGGCTCACTGGGACGTCATTTCAAGAGCTTTGTGGCGTTGGGTTTGGCAAGAAGATCATGACGTTTGCATTTCAATTGGCTTTGGGTCATCTCGTCACTTACTCTCAGCCGAGTTGGGGAGGGACCACACGAAACTGCCTTTCAGAATTGTTTTATCAGGGTTGTTTGACTATAGCTACAAGCTAAGGCTTTGACCAGCTCCCTCCTTCAGGTGTTGGTGGGGCAATGGAGGGTCCGTCCGAGGGTCCGTCCAGGTAGGAGCTCCAACAGTGAAGTGCACGAAGCCCCTCGTTCGGATTTCTTTCGGGTAAAGGTTTTCCCTAAAAATCGAGAAACCTGATGCTGTGCCTCCTTGAAGAAGCACGAGCCTTCCTGCATTACTGAGTGAGCCAGCCTGCCCTTACTTAATTCAGTAGCACCAACATCGATGCAAAGTAAACGCCACGCTTGACGCAACGCATCCCAGCAGCAAGCAACAACAACGTCGCTGCCCACTCGTCGCCTCGAGGTCCTTGTCTCCAGAGCAGCAGGCCTTTGCCAAGGCCTTCAGGGCTATGCAGTTGGAGAGTACGCTCTTCGGTACCTGCGGTGTGAACGAAGAGGTTCTTTTTTTTTTTTGCGGATGGGATAGAGGCACGCAGGACTAAGATTAAGCGTGAATGCAGGGGTAGCTGAACGTCTCTGAGTGTATAAGGGACATATAAGGTCGCTGCAGACGACACGTACCAGATAGTCCTAGATGTGATTTCTTATTGGCAAAGGCATGCATCGTTTTTACCCTGCTGTGTTTTCTCCATATCTCCTTGAAGAACTTGAGGCATTGTCGTGGTGCAAGTGAAGCCACAGCTGGAGCAACTCTTGAATTTGCCAGTGGCATGGCTCATAGTCACTGATAGTCCATTGATGTGATCAGCGAAACGCCGCTGGTGGAGGTAGTATGTAGGCTGTACATCCACCAATGCAGTGATTTCTTGATCTGATTCTGTGTGGGGGAAGCTTTCTTTTTCAGGCCTGTGTTGCTTGAGTCGAACACGACTGATGTTGGATGATATGAGGCTGATAGCCTCACCAAAGAGATCAAACTCACACAGGACACACCGACATGCCTGGAGGGGTTTGAGTGGAATGTCCCAGTCGAGCCGAGCTGCAGAACTGGGATTTGGAGCATGTCGGCCTTGTGAAGAAGTCTTACAAGAATTCCACTTGGTAGACAACTGGACAAGGAAACAGATTGGTCCAGCTAAAGGAGTAAACAATTGAGGTCGAGATCAACCACTCTAAAAATTGGATCCCCTGCAGATTTGCGAATTTGCGAACCGCTCCAGTCAGGACTTGATGCAGCTCTTTATCAAGTATCAGCGCCTTAGCTCAAATGCGAGTGTTCAGGGTCCTGTCCACAGTTGAAGGCAACACCTTCGTCTCGCACAAGTTGTTTCCCTTGAAGGCTCAATCCATCCACCCTAAGAATCAAGGACCCCCAAAGGTGAAGGTTTTGAGGGCCCAAACCCCTGCTATGCAGGGTCAAAACCCTCCATAGGAGGGTCCAATGATTCTTAGGGCACTGTCATTTGATAAAAATGCCGATCGGGTCAGGGGCCAGAGAGTGCCTTCACCACAAGCAGGAGTGCCCACAAACATGCTGGAGCGCGTCCCACAAAATGGCAGACGCCCTCCTTGCGAGGTGTCTTAAGAATCTTGCCCTAGTGACCCTATAGTCTAAGCTGTTGCTAACGATTCTCCAACCAACAGGCTCCGACCAAGGCCGAAAGTGCTTCTGAACGGAATGTGCAAACAGATTCAAAACGACTCAGTTGGACGATGTTTTGCTTCTTAAACTGAGCTGCCGGACACCGGCCAGCTGACCGAGGATCCCCAGCGACTTGCTATCCTTCTCAGAGGACCTGCTGATGCCGGGAGATCTTCCAAGTGCCACCCGAAAGTTGGAGATCGTGAAAAGCCAGGTGAGGAAATACGTTTTGACTTGAGAAGACGTGGGGGGAGCCCCAAATTCTAAGCCATATTGGCGGGAGCCCAGAATTGGGCGGAACATGCTCCCAGGGGTTCGCGATATGGAGATTGTTGAGGTGAACAGATGGTGAAGCAGATAAGATCTTGGTCTTATGGCATTGATGAATCGAGGACAGCATCGAACAGATCCAGTGGAGCCTTTGACGTCCAGTCCGCAATAAGACCGGGTGTGACCAGGGCTTCTCACCGCGCAGGTAAGCCAAATGAATGGCATGATTGCAGAGGAGAAGAGCCTTGCCCGCCTGGATAGGTTTTGGAGGGCCAAGCTTCATTTGCACAGTGAAACCCCCACCCTCCATGGCACCATGAAGATGAGGTCCTACGTTCAAGAGAGGTTTTTAGATCCCTTTCGATTCGATGAGTCAATGGAATAATTCTTACCCAGCTCTTCCTGGGCCTGGCCGAGGAAGCAAGAGCTTGAGGAGCGGCGAAAGGAAGAAGAGTTCCGCCGGCTCGAAGAGCTGCGAAAGCAAGAGGAAGAGCTGCGAAAGCAAGAGGAGGCTCGCATGATGCAGCAGATCTTCCTCGAGAGGGAGGAGGAGGAACGCTGTGTGCGCATGGAGGAGGAGGCAAGTGCAAACCACTTTGCGTAGCTCTGTCTCTCTCTCTCTCTCTATATATATATATATTTATAACATACATATATGTGTGTTCTCCCCAAGGGATAGCATGCATGAGTTGCGAGACCCCGTAGCTTTTGAAAGACAGGGCTGCCTGACCTCTGCCACCAGACCTCCCCGTGGAGGAGGTCAGGTAGCTTGGTTGGAAAGAGAGGCTCCATCCCTCGCTTCCAGGACTCCCCGTGGAGTCAGGGAGAGGTGCCCATTGGGGGATCCCTTTCTCAAGGGAGAAAAGCTTGCAGAGGGCAAGGAAGGCCGAGAAGCTAGAGCTAGGCGCGGTGGTGGACGGTGACAGTGGCACCATAAAAGGCTCGACGAAGAGGGCCCTCGACAGCTTGTCTTTGGGTTTCTGGCTGCTGCGGCAAGAGAAGGCCCCGCGAAAGGGACTACAAGTCTTCTTAGGGCGAGAGGTGCACACGCTTCAGCTTCGGAGACCGCTCTTTGGAGTGTTCGACTATGTATGGAAGGACATTGCGGACGGCGAGGTGCTCATCCCGCTGAGTGGAAAATCCGTTGAGGAAATCTTGATGGCAGGCAAGATGTAGCCAGGCCTTGAGGGTGACAGATTTGCGGGCTAAGCTGCGTGAGGTCGTGACTGCATCTGATGCGAGTGAGACAGGAGGTGGATCGGTGTACGGGTCAAAGTTGACATCCCGAGCGCTCAGGAAGCTGTGTGCCTTGGAGGAGGCAGAAGATGAGGTAGGAGGAGAAGGTATCAACTTGGACGAGCCGCAGAGTGTGTTGGTTTTTGACTTCTTTGCAGGGATTGGAGGTTTGAGTCGGGTGCTCGAGCTGGCTGGGCAGAAAGTGGACCACCTGGTGGTGATTGAGAAGGACCCGGACTGCCGGCGTCTAAACAAAACAAGGTGGCCCGGGTGCGACGTGGTGGCAGACATCACCCGAGCGACAAAAGGGAATATTGAAAAGTAGATGGGAAGCGTACCGGGCCTGACAGGAGCCGTGGCTGGAGGTGGATCCCCTTGTCAAGGAATATCAAAGCTGAATGCTGATCGAATTCCGGCCAGGGGCGCAAGCCCAGGGCCGTGGGATCCCGGAGGGTTCTCTCCTTTCCGAAGGAGAGAGGGGCTCCAACCCCTGCCGCCCACACAGAAAACCAGGGGGGGCAGCGGACGTCGCTGGGATAGAATTAGATTGTGGAAATGCGCTAGATGCAAGCTATGCTCAACATAGCCCCAAGACCGCGCAACAAAGGCTCCAGATGGCCCAAGCTAGACCCAAGCTGTGCGCAACATGGCCCCAAGCCCGCCCAAGAAGGGGCCAACATGGGTCCAAGATGGGCCAACATGGGGCCAAGATGGGCCAGCATGGGCCCAGCTGGGTCAACATGGGCCAGCATGGGCCCAAGCTGGGCCAACATGGGCCCAAGCTAGGCCAACATGAGCCCAACATGGGCCCAAGATGGCCCAAGCTAGACGCAAGCTATGCTCAACATAGCCTCAAGACCGCACAACAAACGCTCCAGATGGCCTAAGCTAGACCCAAGCTGTGCGCAACATAGCCCCAAGCCCGCCCAACATCGCTACGGCCACAGCCTGCACCCGCACCCAATCTTCCACTCTCCAGCCCCCTACCTCAACGCCCCTGGCCGGCTGTCGGGTGTAAGCCCGTAAATCACCTTCAAGATCTTCGGTCTAAGTTGTTTTACAAATATGTGGAGGTCCTTGGATGGATTGAGGATGTCGCCCGGGAGATGAAGGTTTGGTCAGTCTTGATGGTGGAGAATGTCTTTGGGGATGATGAGGACATCAAAGAAATGAGTCAGCAATTGGGGTGCCGACCTCTCTATGTTTGTGCGAGCTGCATGTTGTGGGTGAGACGACCCAGGCTGTACTGGTGTAATGTGAGCATGGATGATCATGCGAGCTACCAGCTCAACCACCATGGGCTCTATGACGTTTTGGAGTTTAATGAGCCGTTGGATGAGGTCGGTATGCGATGAAGGCTGGATACAGCCAGCGGCAGAAGTGAACCAAAACATCAGATTGCCTACCTTCACAAGGGCGATCCCAAGGAAGAATCCCCCAGTTGCAACAGCAGCACCATCGAGAGATGGCAGGCGGATCAAATGAAGTATCCACCATACACATATCGGCCTGAGTTCTTGTTCCATGATGCCAAAGGTGATGACGTCAAACGAGTTGCCTCGGTGGCAGAACGGGAGCGATTGATGGGCCACCCCACTGGGTATACTTGGAAGGAGGCTGAGACGGAGGCCGGGCGGGGGAAGCAGACGGTGGCACGAGAAGCAGCCATCGGTAATAGCTTCCATACGGTGGTTGTGGCTTGCATTTTGGATCTTTGGCTGTGGAAGAAGCAAGCTCGAACTGATCCAAAGGCAATAGTTGAGAGGTGGCGTGAAGAGATGAGTGAGCGAAGTTTTGATGATGTGGGAGAGAAGGATGATGCCACGACCCACATCAGTATGAGTGAAAGAGACAAAGAAGAGGAGGAAGCCATCTTTCAGTTGATGAAGCATCCAAAGAAGGAAGAAATGGCTGCGATTGGCTGGCCATAGCTTCGGAAAAGCTGGAGGTGCGCGGTTGCTGAATGTCAGGCTGATCCACCAGAACCTGCGGCGGATGGAATTCCGCGGAAGCGATGTCAGGTTAGATCTACAGGTGGTTTACCGTCCAGATGCGGTGGTCCGAACGACAGTGGGCCTGGTAGGTGGGTTTGGAAGACGGCCCAGTCCTAATTACAAGTGGCGACGGGATGAGCACATAAATCTGCTCGAACTGCGGGCAATCCTGACAAGCCTGGAGTGGCGCGCCCGTTCAGCGTCTTTTCATTCTTGCAGGTTCCTCCATCTTTCAGATTCCCAGATTTGCTTAGCTGTTTTGACAAAAGGTCACAGCAGCTCAAGAAAGATCAACCACATTTTGCGGAAAATCTCAGCCTTGTGCCTCGCTCTGAATCTGTTTCCGTTGTGGGCTTGGATTGCATCCCGTTTGAATCCAGCGGATGGTCCAAGCAGGCGCTTCGAGAAGGATGCCAAGGAAGGAAATTAAGAGAAAAGAGACAAAAGAGGAACGCAAGGCTGAGAGAAAGAAAGTGGGACGGCTGTCAGAGCAACGAGTTTCACTAGCGACCGCTGAGCGCTACACAGCGTCACTGAATGAATTCGCTTTGTTCGTTGGAAGCCCTGTGACAGAGGTGCTGCGTCGAGATGACTTGGAGTCACTCCTCTGTCAGTACATAGAGTTTCTCTGGGAAGAAGGTGATCCCAAGAGTATGGCAAACTACGTGCTGGCCGCTGCTCAGTACAGAAAACCAGAACTCAAAGGGGCTTTGAAGGGGGCGTGGCAGCTTGTTTTTCACTTTGGAACAAGCTGGAGCAACCAATACGGGCAACCCCTTTAAGTCCAGAACTGGTTTTGGCCTTTGCTGGCGTCTTGTGGAAATGGCAATGGCCGCGGCTGGCTTTCGAACAGGAGAGATGATTCAACTTGTTCGGAAAGATGTCATCTTGCCAAAGCACAAAGGCCAGTCGGCCATCATCTTTTTGCGTGACACAAAGACTGCACAACGAAATATCTTGACGAGTGAGAAGGTGCTCAAGGCGGGGAGGGGCAACTTCGGCTTATGCTCAGGGCATGAAATTTGACCAGCTTTTGACCAATTAAAGGTCGCTGGAAACATGTTTCCACTGCCCGAATCTACCTTGATCAAGCCCTCCAGGAATACACAGCTTTGGTCCTACCGCCCGCGGTTTTCCAAAGAGTTCGCGCAGCAAACCAGAGGTTTGCGGGACGCGTGGAGGTGGGGGCTAGGAGGACTTGATCGGGAGAGGGCATTCCCCTTTTTTTGTCAGATGGCACTTGACCCCGGCAAAAGTGCGCGGAAGGGTCAAGAGGTGGGCATAGCAACATAAAGCATATATATATATATATATGCATTATATATTTTTAATTTATATATGCTGTATATATTATATAGTTAGTTGTATGGATAGGTCAGTTCTATGTTTGCATGTGGTCCCCCAACAACTGTAGTCCCCGGCTTCTGAAGGACATATCCACCATACCAGTTGTTGACTTCAGCTGCCCACCAGCTAGAAGCTTCCTTGGGAATCGTTTCACTAGGAATCGTTTCACCTGTAGTAACAAGATGCTACTAGCTAGAAGCTTCCTTGGGTATCGTTGAACGCTATTCCGAACTGTGACCGTGACGACCGGTCTCCCCCATGGTGATGACCTGGGCCGGGGATGCGGTTCATGTGTTTGGGCGCAGGAGCCGCTCGCCCACTCCGCCTTTCAGGCCTTTGACGTTCCATCCAGGAGGGGCATGTCCTTCGGCCAATCGCTTCTGAAATCCATGGGTAGCGCCTTCGGTGGCGGCGCCTCCATGGAGAAGTGTGCCGCGGCTCCGGTCTTGGAGGTCGAGCGGCGCTCGATGGCTGTGCCACGGCCGAGCTGCGCAGCCGGGAAAGGCATGGCCAAGGGAAGAGGACGGAGGGAGACTCAGAGAAAGGGATGGGGTGGATGGATGCATCATTGCAGTTAGAAACTCCATTTCACAACTGACATTTTATGCTTGGCTTAGCTATTCTCCGGCTGAAACCCTGTGAGGCAACAGCATCCAACTGAGTGCTGCCCCTACCGGTGCCGCCAGTGGTGCTGCCAGCGGTGCTGCCAGCGGTGCTGCCAGCGGTGCTGCCAGCGGTAGCGGTGCCAGCGGTGCCGTCCCAGCGAAGCCCAGTCACGCGGCAACCTCACCAGGCCCAGTGGAGCCAGGGATGGCTGAAGCAATGGAGGTGGATGACATGGGCCGTGATTACACGCAAGTGCCCAAGCAGCTGGACGAGCAGTTCGAAAGGCCAGGAACAAGTCGAAGACGGTTTTTAGGGCATGAATGAGTGCGGTAGTTGCACGAGGATTGACCCTTACTGAGTTTGGTGATGCATGACAGAGATATAAAATCATAAGTCCTGGGATGACCATGTTTCTCTATAGGGCGGTACTACTAGGGGCTTCTGGCCGTACTAGTAACAAGAACGGGGCTCAAACGGGGCTCACATGGGACCTGCGTCGCTGAGACAGCGAAGGCTCGCTCCGGAGAGTGCCTTGCGCCCGACCATCATCAACCCTGGACGCATGTGGCCTAAGCGCTCTCAGCCGGCCTTGCTGGCAGAGAGGAAGACGGAGAACTTGACCACCGAAGAGCAGAAAAGGGCTGCTTGGGCGCTTTAACGGGCAGGTAATGGCATTGGAGGATGGAAGATGAGCAAATTCAAAAATTATGCCTTTTCTTCTTTGGCCGGGATATGTTGGGATTGAGAAGGTGCATGAAGGAAGTGGGACTGCAGAGTCAACCATGAGACTGAGTCTTGTTTTTGATCTTTTTGTACCACGACACAGGGTCCCGATAGTTCTCTACGGCCAGTTCGTTTGAGCACTCCTGTTGCACCCCAGCCAACCTCGACAGCCCCCTGCAGTGCTTCGTAGCTCATCAACCGGCACGGTTGGCTCAAACAAAGCACTAGGATCCGAAGTGCAGCCGCACCAGTAGTGGTACCATTGAACATTGAACCAGTACTACCTTCGGAGTGGCTCCAATCAGCAGGGCCGCGATGGCGGTGGCTTCGGTGGGATGTCCTGATTTGAGCTCCTCCGTTCGGAGTATCATTACTTCCGCTCCTCATTTGTCGCCCCCGCAGCTGAAGGTCACTCCCAGTGTGCCAGAGATCTTCGTGAAGACGCCACCACAGACGCAGGTCTCAAGAGTGGTAACCCAACTAGAGACTGCACGGTGCACGGATATGGTGGCACAGCTGCAATGTCAAGTGGACTATTGGCACCAACGCTTTCATGATGTCGAGACATGCTTCTATGAAGCGAAGGTGCAATTGTCAAGTGTATTGGAAAGAGAGCAGTGCTTGCAAGCAAAGATCATGCAGCTTGAGAGCTGTCACACTGTTTCAACTGATGAACTTTGCAGCGCACGACTCCTTCTGGAAGAACGAGAAGTGAGCTTGCAAGATGCTCGTGCAAAGCTTGCTTTTATTCAGCAGGAGCTTGAGGCTGAGAAGAGGTTTAGACAGGACGAATTTGAGCGGACAAGCCTTCGGATTGAGCAGCACAAGGCCACAGAAGCTAAGCTAGTAGAGACTCAAAGGCGCTTAGACAGTGCCTTGAAGGACAACCAAGCCTTGCAGTGTGAGCATCATGCAATGGAGCAAAAACTGCAGATGAGAGGAGAAGAAGTGAACAAGCTACTAGTCGAGTTGACCGAAGAGCGCAACCTCCATCATGCGGCAGTGTCTGAGAACTGCGCCTTTAGACAAAAGGTCAAGGCCTTGGAGGAGGCGGTTGTCGAGAAAGAGAATTCCCTTCAGTTCCTTGAAGCGACTTGCAAGCAGCTCAGCAGCGAGGTGAGTGAAGAACGCAAGTTACACCATGCAGCAGTTGCCGAGACATGCGAGCTTCGACAAAAGATCAAAGCTCTAGAAGAGGAGACTGCCGAGCACGAAAGGTTGGAAGAGTTCTGGAAGTCTGAGCGCGACATGTGGTTTTGCAGGAGCAATCACTTGGAGGAATTGAACGGAAAACTACATGAAGGCTTGTCCCAAATCGTGAACAATCCTGAGCTCAAGCCGATGCCACCTGCGCATCCGGCACAGTCACCTCACCGTGTAATTTGCACCAGGCGCACGATCGATCGTGCCATTGAGCCTGTGCAGCTGGAAGTCCACCTTAGCGGTTATGCCTCCCCGTGATACAGTCGCAGAGGTTTGTTTCACAAAAGTTTGTCCTTAGGACAAGAATGCCACAAAGCAAGTCTTCCAGAGGAAGATCTTCAAAGAATGAGTGCCATCCAGGAAAACGCGACATCGTCCTTCCTCAGCGTGTCCCACCGAAAACGACTGCGTTGTAGCCAGACGCTGCCGAGAGAGAGAGAGAGAATAAAATGCAGTGCATTGAGATTTGAACAACAGTCTTGTGTTTGATGTCCACCTGGTCGCTTCCACCTGGTGCCAGCTGAGGAGAAGGATGCCGCATTCGACCTGCTGGACGCGATCACCAAATCCGGAGCGCTGCCCTTGAGCACCTGGGCGGAGGGAGCAAAACCGATCAATGACTTGGACAACAGTTTCCAACAAGTCATCTATTTATTTTGCAAGACAGGCACAGCTTGTTATGGACCTTCTTGTTTCGGACCGGCCATGCCGTCACCGAGGTCATGCTAGTATGCACATTGTGGTGGCGGCGACTCATTGCTTTGACAAGACGGTGACTGAAACGGTGATCCAGGAGAATCTCAACCCCATTGAACAGGCCGGGGGGGTTCGGACATGGCCGGGTCCATCAAGCGGAGAGAGACGGCATGCCACGGGCCCAAACCCCCAAATGGATGGTTGAGTGGGAAATTTAACCTAATTAAGGCCTGAGGGATTTAATGCCAAGTGAGCTGGCCATAGCTCAACGAGGTCAAGGACCATATGAGTGATGCGGGATGATGCGGGCGGAGGGGAAGTTTTAAGGGTTGGTATGGGTAAAGCGGATTGTGTCATTGATATGATTGATAGGATGCAGAAGCTGGGAGGTATTTTGAGATCGTGGCAGTGGTCCGAATCCCGAACTATTTTCCACGTCCCTTGAAAGCGGTATACTTTTGTTGGATTCCTACCCCATGCTGAAAGCGCCAGCTTGCTTGTGCTGAAATTTGAATAAATTTGATTGAACAAATCCTTCGCAGGTCGAATGTTCCAGCTTGATTATCGCATCCACGGTCCACCAGCAGCCAGTGGCCGCGATGATCAAAGACTCCTGTCACGCGCGCATCAAAGCAGCAGCTCCACAGCTGATGGATTCTGATGTGATTATGTCTGGAGAGTAGAACCTCCACAGAAGAATTTGAAGCCGTCTCAAAGCTGATGGGGCAAGCTGCTGGTGGATCCTCTAAACCTATAGCCTCAACGGATTCGGAACTCAGGTATTGGTCCACATTGGCTCCAAAACAACTGTATAATTGATGCTCTCTCTCTCTCTATACATATATATATGTGTGTGTGTGTGTTTTTTCCCAAGCTGATCAAATAGTGAAGGGCCCACTCTAGACATGTATCCAGCACCGTTCCCATTCAAACCACCATGCTGCGAGCTCCATATATGTTCTCGTGTCGACCATGCTTGTACTATGAACACTGTTTTGGATGTCAAATCTAAGATCACTTTGACACTCCAGCACACCCTAGCCCCATGCGTTTCAGACGTGGATTTCTTAAAGTCAAATCCCCGTTTCATCGAGCCACGTGTACAGTTTGGCTCGCCTTCGACCGATCCGGTCGGGACGTGACTACGTTGCCTTTGTTGGAACAGTTGGGTGTGTATGTTTGGTTGGGTTGGGCCTTCGACCTATGCAATACACACCAGAAAGTGGGGCGCTTTTGTAACGTTAGGAAAATGAATGGACCATCAGAAGCAATTTCAGCTTCAGATGTGATTTAGCATTGTTGATGGCTCTCACTTGAAGTTATTTTGGGCTTCAGAGTTCTGAAGACTGGGCTCACACTTGAGCGATCTTGAGCGTCCTATCGTTGCGTGCAATTCGCTTGTGAGTGCGGGACGGATCGGCTGAAACTCGAAGCTCCAGTGATCGTTTCACCTCCATTGTAAGGATTGGGTAGATGGGCATTCATCGGCCCGACTCAACCAGTCTTCCTCAAAGCATTGCCCAGAGCCAACCAGAGCCCAAGATGACCAAGCACTCTTCCCTTTCCCACGATGACCAAGCGGGGTGTACCACTTGAGCCCACCTTCCGGGTGGGATCGAAACACCAACAGGCCGACCACTTGCTTCTCCCACGTGGCCTCGCCAGGTGCCTGATCGGCCGCACTTCCATCGGAGCTTCAACGTCTCCAGGAACGGAACCTCGTTGGTGCCTGGCTACAACGTGGCGGTGCTGTTCCCGGTCTACAGGCGCTTTATTCGGTCGGAAAGCGGGTGGCGATTTCAGGAGGTCCAAGACTGGCAGACTGAAGTCGGATCTGAAAGGTCAAAGTATAGAAACTGAAAGCATCAGAATGGTGGAAAGATCTTGTTTCTTCGATAACCGATGGGGGCCGACCCGTCTACCGATGCCCTTTCGATGTACCAACCGCTTAAGGAAGCACGCTGCCACGCTACATTTGTAGCTGGCGCAATCACTTGGTGCACTTCCGAGTTTGAGTTGTTTACTTACACCAATGTACCAGAATGTGCTGCAAGACTTAAATTTCCAGCCAATGAACCACTTTCTCACCGCAGTGCCTGACCGATGCCCCAACTGATGCCCACTTTGAACATGCTTTTGTCCATAATGGCCTTCCCCAAAACTTGTACAACCACTGCACAGTGAACATGTTTGCCCCACGGAAGAGCAACTCATCCACAACTTGTACAACCACTACACTGCTGCATTCAATTCGTGCCCTCCCTTTTGGCGTGCCAAACTATGACAACTATAGCAAGCTTGATGATTGCCAACAAAGCTCAAAACTTGCTGAGGGTAACAAGTGGGCCTGCTTTGCAGCCAGCCCTGCCAACCTCCATAACCGATGGGGGCCGACCATTCTAGGCAATGTCCTTAGGCTAGATACCAGATTTCGTCCGACGCTATCGTATATTTACAATGATATATAATATATAATTTGCTCGTTGCGGGAGATGTTAGGAATGGGCCAAGAAAAGCTTTTGCATGTTTTGCTTTAGCCGATGGATACTTTCAGAGGTGGCTTCAGCAACTGCGGACGGTCCAACCAAAACTTGACCGTTAGGGGGTAGCCATCAGCACTGCCAGACGCTTCAAAAGGTAGCCTGGTTTACATGTTCCAGGCTCAATGAGATCCTTTCGGGGTGCCGGTCCGAGCATCGTCTCTTCCCGTTCATTGACGGTGTCGTTCAGTCCATGATGGTTTGAGGGAAGGTAACAATCATAGCTCACGAAAGACTGCAGCCTGAGGAACAGCTACCATGCTGTTGCTCCTGTCAAGCCTGGTCCTGGTAGACGGTTCACCTTGCAGGGCTGGCACCTGGCAAACAAGTCAGAGGGTTGTGGCCGATCGTGGCCGCATTTTGGGCCGCCGTATGCCTGCAAATTGTTTGCCATCCAAGTGTTTTGATCGCTTTTGGTCACTTACAGTAACAGCTTATTCAAACTAGCACTTTTGGGACGCTTGCACGGGCTGGAGGTCCCCATTTGCTGTAAGGGTTTCCCGGGCATTCAGAGAGAATCCCACGATCGTTAGTACTCATTACTGTATATCATTCTATACTACTACCACTACCACTGTGGTTTGATGTTGTGGCATTCTTGTCAAAAGTGATCGCTTTGGAGGAGGACAGTTTTTGTTCTTGGCAGTTCTACTTGGCCCCCCTGTGTCCATGTCGTTCCTAGTGTCCATACTTTTTGGCTAAGCCGTGATACGATATAACGACATCACACACACACCCGCACACACACACATATATATATATATACACATATAAGATAGACCACTGATCCCCTGCCCCCAACCCATCTCCCTGGTCTTCATGGTTCACCAGTGCCAGATCCATGATCTAAATGTTTGCAGACGCAGATGCCAGGGTTTTTTTGTGGCGCATGGCCACAGATGTTGTGTGACTGGATTGCATGGATGTTACACGACTGACAGCGGCAGTGGGTCCCTCACTCTACCAACCATGGTTTCGGTGGACACCCAATTTGTTCATGTGAAAAGTGGTCAACCAGGGTCCCCCCCAACCTTGACCCACTTCCATATAACCAAGAAACACCTCGCAAGTCACCCACTTCCTCGTTTGTCATAGGACATTCCTGTGAACGCTGGGAAGATATGGTCCGACGCCTTGCCGCCCCACTGGCTCAGGTATGTGGACCCATGTCAGTTCTCCAAAGCCAAGAGCAGCTGCATGCCTAAGGCGACGAAAGACTTCAAGGCGACGGGTAGCTCTCACAGCAGGGGAGGGGAGTTTCCAAGTTTGATGGAATTTCAGCAGCAAGGCCTGGTCAGAAGAAATGGCAGAGAGGTCAGCGCAGCACTTGGCGCGGATGAGCCGCAAAAAGATGCACAGCGAGTTGTGAGCATTGATCCAGGTCGATGACACCAGCAACGAACAATTTCTTGATAGGAATTAGTTGGGCCAGTAATTCTCAGCGCTTCCCAATTTGAGTTGCTTATTGTAGGAGGTTCTAACGATATCCGAAGATCACAAGAGCATGGAGAATGGAAGGTGCTGGTGAAGGACTTGAGGATCCAAAATTCCAATGCGGCCTTGTATGCAGACCGAACTGCACGCGGGCCATTGGAATGATTTATATATAATTATGCTTGGTTTTGCTCCCACATGTACATAGTCAGCGCCATGATCGAAGACCGATGCCGTTTGCAGCGGCCAATGTGGCATGGACTTTCCAGAAATGGTTTGGCATGCGAGACTGCATTTGGAAGGCAAAAAAACAGGAATAGACAGGTTGACCTATGCCAGGGGCCAAACATTTTAAGAGAAGAGCACGGCACCGTATGCACCGTATTGTTTGACCAGTCGAAGTTGATGGACGCGTAGCAATTGGAACAGACATTATACAAAACAAGTGTCATATGCGTGTATCTTGGGTCTGTCTTATTACCTGTAACAGTCAGTAATCAATTGTAAGATACCACTCTTTTTGAACAAGGCCTTCACTAACCATCACGGATAGACCCAACATATATCCCAAGTGTCATATGCGTGCATAGTGGTCCCCCAAAGAAAAAGTACATATAGAAACGATGTCCAATAAATGTTGAATATAGTTTTGTTTTTCTATCTATTTGGGCCTGCCTCTCTCTCTCTATATATATGTGTGTGTGTATCCATGTGTGTCTCCATGTTTGTGACCTTTCCTTCCCCCAGCTTCTGAGGCGCAGGCGGAGCAGAAAGCCGCCGAGAAGCGTCGTCTGGGGGCCCAAGAGACGCATGGTACCGTTGGAATGCGCGTTCCTGGAGAGGGAGACTGAAGGCACACCTGACCAGGAGCATGTATGCAGCATGCATGAAACACCTGCCAAAGGTGGCTTTGGCTACCTGCTTGGAGAACGTCAACCTGTATATACTAGCCACAGCGCTTCAGGCATTAACTCGAAACCAGTCCATTGCCAAAGAACCTTCCAGCACTCATCATTTGCAGGAAATGATCCGCACAACGAGCTCCTACTTTCAGCAATGCTGCGCGCATCTTCAGTGGAGGGCATTCAATTTCGTTGAGATTGCCCCTGTCCTGGAGAAACTGTTGTTCGTCCGGCCGCGTAATTATCTCTTCGGCTGGGTGGCCTCGGCCTCGCCGATGTTCAGTACATTTCGAAGACGCATGCTATAAGCCTCAGAAGTCCTTTTGTGCCGCACGAAAGACAACAGATCTGAAGCCTTACGTGCTTTTTGGTGGGCAAAAAGAAAGGCACGAGAGTATTGGAGATCTCACGGTTACGAGCTTTGCGGGAACGGTCTGACCCCTCCTCCAATGCCATGGAGTCTCTCACCACCCGAGCCTTCGCACCCAGGTGCCAGTGAGGCCAGTGAGGTGCTGTGAACAGCGTCGCTGCAAGATGTGCTTTTGTGAGATAGTTGGTGCATCACCTGTGATCCCCAAATAGATAGTGGCACAGTTTCCAATACATTTGTAGTGGGGATCTACTTTTCTATCTATTTGGGGGTCTATGTCTATATACTGGGGTGACACTGTTCGTGCTAGTTGGCTTTCGGGATGGAGTGAGGAACCACAAGGTGTCGCCTGGGAAGCACACGGAGCCACAAAGCCGCAGGAGAGTAGGAAGGCAAAAGGACAACTGACAAAGACTCTTATTGACATTTACTAAATGTATATGCCTCCGAAGGCCTGCCTAGAGATTACACTCCAGGATGTTCAAAGATTTAGCATAGAGGCTGAGGGCATAATTGTTGCACCCCGGCTGATTTTGCAGAGCCCCGTCCCAAACAAGAGGAAAATACAGTACTAGTGCAGATGTTCTTTGTTTGCTTACACTGCATCACTATATAGTTATCCTGCTAGTGTTTCAGGTGTAGCTCTGAGTTCTTTTAGGCAACAGGATTTTCTGAAGAGCCCGCTCAAAAAGAAGAAACACAGCCTGTGAGAGGCCTCTGATTGGGTCGAGGAGAAAACTGAAGAGGGTGAGACGATCTTCCGCAACCAGAGTTGGACACTCAGTGACCGTTGCCTTCGTCCGCAGCATCACGGTCCAGATTTCTGGGCGACACCACTTACTTTGCGCTCGCCCAAAGCCTCAGTTGATCAGTTTTTGTAGTGAAGGTCTGGCGGCTGCAGATTAAGCAAGCATCGGGAATCAGACAAAGATTGCAGCATGTAGTGAAGCGTTGTGCCCGCTGTACTCCTTTGTGCCCGCTGTACTCCTCTTATATATATTGGAGGAAATGTTATATACATATCATTTGTATGTTCAATTGCAGCACCAAGGTCAGGACTGTCATGGGCCATGGACATGAATTTTCATAGACTGTCATGGTCAGGATTTTCAGAGACTGTCACGTGTGCCATTTGCGTTGGTCACCGGAGTTTGCGTTGGTCGCCGTGTGTGCAAAGATCATCGGTAGTGCAGATCCTTACAGACATGATGACACTCGGGCTGTATTTTGACCAGGGGTTTGAATCCTTCCTTGGATGGTATCAAGTATGATTAAGTATGATTATATAAGTATTGTTCAAGCCTATATGCTAGGATGATTCCAATATGCTAGGTTCACAGCTGGCACTGTGCAGTTGGCGCCATCCTTCTCGAAATCTTCGGTCGAAACTGGCACCGAAACCTGCCCAGAAACTGGCGAGACAGCTTCTGAGCGGCCCGTCGCAAAGGCGCGGAGCGGCCCAGAGCGTGTTTGGTTTAGCCGCTGAGGCTGTGAGTGCCACCAGAGATATTGTAGAAGACCCACCCCTGGACACAAGAGATACATAATGGGGCTGGAAGTTGTTTGTGTTTAGCGGGTTCGTCTGGCGCAGAGCCACTGGACCCGCTGCCCCTTGGAGTGGGCGGTCTTGTTCCCAGGTTTTTCTGACGGAAGGTCCCAGCTGACCCGATTTGGTTCCACCCAACGGTTTCTTTCCATTTTGGGCAACACCGGTCATCTAGTCCAAGCAAGCCAGATCTATTGACGCTCCCTGCGCGGACAACGCCATGGCCAAGTGTTGGTCCGCCATTGTTGGTCCCCCTCAAACAGCTACCCTCCCTCAAACAACGTTCCACTTTCATGTTTGTTTCAGGGAGTGTAATAAGAATATTTGGAATAGAAGACTCTAAGAGGTTTAATTAGAGACATCATCCAGTCCATCACAACCTGGTCCGTTGGACAGCAGATTCAGCCACCACACCGCCAGTACCGCCAGGCTGCAGCCAAGGCCAGCGGGAACCGCAGATGGTGCCTCATGTATTTTTTCCGATCCGCACATGAACGAATCGTTCCGTCCATCCTGTTCTTTTTTTGTCCTTCAGGTCACCTCCAAACAATCGCAGATCCACTGTCTGACTGGACCAAACAATCAATGAACGGATCCAAACAATCAACAGATCCACCTCCAAGACGGGCTCCCGTTTGCCACCTCCCAGACGGGCGAAACCTCACTTCCTCAACCGAGCCACGAGCAACTCACTGGATTGCAGCTGGGCACTTGTTCTCACTATCACTCAGGCACACGCTATCACACGCTCTCGTCGCTGAACACACCATGAGCACACGACATCAACTGCCTACACCATCCTATACCTGGTCAGTAGATAACTCAACCTTTTGGGGGGGCATTGGTGGCCACGCTAAAATCACCCAAAAGAAGATGAACAGGCGGAAAAAAGGACACGGAGGGAATTCAAGTCAATGGGTGGTCACGGCCGGCAGTAAAGCCAAGGTATCACTCAAGTCTCTTCTTCGGAATGGATCCAAGTTCGCCGTCCCAGGGCAAATCCATGCTTGTCTCGAATCCAAGGATAGAAAACCATCCCGGCGCGGAATCCCCTTGGCATCCAGGTCCATGATGTGTATATGTTGTGTTCTTGTCATGCTCCTTTATATACATCTTTTTAGCATGTTTTAGCTGTTCACTAATTTTAATTTGATTCTACTCAATCTTACTAGAAGCTTTATAGAAGCTACCTGAAGATCCAAACTGTGGATGGCTTCCAATAGCTTCTAATAGCTTCTTGTTACTACTAGTAAGGCCCTTGTTACTAGTAGCGATGCACTTGTTCCTGGTAGCTTGTTCCTGTATATACCTCTTTTTAGCATATACCCTCCCTCCACGGTTTGGGCTCGCTCACCGTGGCGGAGGCCTCTGCTCCCTTTGGGAGCGTTGGGCTCCCTCAGCGGTTGGGCGCCGTTTGGGGGCGCCGGGTGAGTTGGTCGCCGCACGCGGGCCGGGAGTTGGGCGCTTTCCCCGACCTTTGGTTCAATGGCTGGGAATTATAGAAGATCACACTTAATCTGTGATGATTGTGAACCTGCACGGCAGGTGGCCAGGGAAAGGGGAAACTTGTATTTTCCAATGGGGGGTATTCACAAGAAAGACAGCCACCATTTGCATGGATATATTGGATTGAGTCGATATAGAGATCAACAGACGGATGATGTTCGCTGATCGCAGCTCATGTGGTCTTCGACTTTCTCCAACGCGCCGGTCTAAGGCCGCCTCACCGACGGTCCCAGCCGGTGCGCGTCCGCCCTGGGCAAAGGCAGGCATTATTTCGGCCACGGGCCAGGTCACAGAAGTCAATAAAGGTTAAGGCCCGGCTTAACAAGCGGCTTGTAGGGCCTTCTAGATCCCTAGACCTAGAATATTTTTTTGCTCAAGCCACTCCGCTTCAGTTTGAATCTAAGGGGTTGTGGACAACATGTGGCAATGTAGCCACTCTGACTCTGTCATTACGAGATAGGCTCACACAAACGCCTATGCCCGGCTTTGGCAAAGATTGACCGAATTTGACGGCAACTTCCACTGCCTTAAATACTATCGGATGCTTATGCTTGTCCAAAGCAGTCAAACGACCAGTTCTTTTGGTGTTACTGGGTTCGTGCGTGTTGACACGACTTGTGGCAGTTTGCAAGGGCGAGAAGACCTCAAAGGCAACATCGATCTTTGGTGCTTGGCCAACGTTGATTTGCGTTTACGTGCCCGCGACATTGGCTCGAGATGCTACAGACCTCCTGTAGCCAAACCCTCTTTGGGACCCGAGGCTTTCGGAAAATTCTCTGAGAGCCCGCAGCCTGGTAGTGGACATTCATATCAGCCCCAGCCATTCAACCTCATGAAAGGCCAAGGCCGAACGGAAGGGTTCGCAAGGGGGCTGAGGAAGCCGGAGGGCTACTTCCCTCCCTATGATGAGCAGTACCTATGATGCAGTATGATGCAGTATTTTTGAATACACTGGTCTTGACATATGGTCTTCTAATTCATGATTCTATTGCTGGTTCCAGGTGTTTGAGCATGCTACTTATCATTCCAATCGTAGAACTGCATGCCCAGAGCAATGTAACTTGTTGGCTGGTTTATCACTTTATCACCTCTTACCCAGCAACATCCAGGTGGCACCTTTGTGCTGGACGGAGCCACAAGGGTTAAATTTCTATAATTACTTATTTAATGATGTTATTTGTTTGGTTGTATTGTTTATTGTCTTGCATGGCTTCAAAGCGATCCACTTCCACACGAGCCATTCCAGACTGCGACCTTCCGTCCTCTCCGCGCAGGTGGGCCAGCGCCGGCGGACTATGGCGCTGTGGAGTCTGGTGAGAATGGAAAGAAAGGCGCCGCAGAAGAAAACTGCAGTTTGGCAATGTCCCATCCCATCCCCCCCAAAACACGTGTCTGACGGAGTCATACGGAACCCGCGGTTTGGAGCATGAAATCCACACCAGGTTTGCTTGCGGTTGCAGTTTGGGGCAAGTAGACCGACCTCCGGCTTAAAGGAACCCCGTTCATGCTGGGTTTGGGACCTCGGACCCTTTGTGTTCACTCGCCCACATTACAACTCATTGCCTGAAGCTCCAAGAGAGCCCGTGGCCCGTGCAGCAGTTGTTTCGTGATCTATGCACAAATCAGAAGGTTCCTTGGCCCTTCCCTTTGCAAAAGGCAGAAGAACTGTAACTATTTTTCCAAATGCCTCTTACCACTGGAGCTGGAGCTGTGGAGGATTCAGGGGCGACGAGTCCTTCACGGCCGTCATGACCTGCCAAAGATGGCTTTTTTGAGGGGCCATCCATTGATGGTTTCTTTTGGTGGTCATTATGTAGTTGTTTTGTCAACTGTTGTTCCCTCTCCTTGCTGACTTGGAGGCTTCAAGGAAACAAGAAGCAACATAAATCAAGAACATAGAACAACCTATTATCAGTAATGATGTTTCGCCTTCAGCCTCGCTGAACAGACTTTGCAGATGGCGATGGAGATGGAGAGAGAGAGAGAGAGATTAATAATGATGGGGCCTTCCCAACACAGCAAGGCCGATTGAAATTCGGGGAGGGGACAGATTTGTGGTCAGACCATTGGTCTGAAGGCCACGGAGAACAGGAGAAAAGAAACGAGGACGAATGACATGAAGTCAGTCACTCATCCAAAACGAAAGCATGTCCTGGAACCAGCCATCCGCAGGCGGGATCGTCACAGAGGAGGAACGCGCCAAACAGCGGGCCAAGCCGTCCCTCAGCGTGAGCACAGCCGGGGCGGTCGGAGCATGTGCTGGAGCGGGGTCAAGCGGACTTCTATCGAAATGACCAGTCATCACTAACATGTCCAAGAATTGCTGCACAGCGACATCGTGTTGAACAGCCAATTTGCTTGCTTAATCTTGTTTCACTTGCGCAAGAATGCACAAAAAATGCACACTAAACTGCACTACTTTTAACCTGAAGATCCTCATTTCAACGACAGTCACACCCGTTTTGGTCACATGCAGCACCGAACAGTCACAGGGCATCTTCCCGTCTCCCCCGAAACTCGGCTGCCCGATTCGCTGCCGATGAGGTCATGGAAAGACTTACCACCCTTGCTCCTTCCGTGGTTTCTCTTTGGAGCTTCAGCAGCAGTCAATGCGAGTTCCGCGCAGGGCATCGCATGGAAAAACCGATGGAAGATCGCCTCTTCAAAGCCTTCAAGGCTTGTGATTTGGGTGCTCATGGCAATCTCTTTGGCGTGTTTGCACGGCCTTTTTCTCCGGAGACCGCATTTTCCAGGCCCACCTTGTACACAACTCTTCGTGCGCTAAGGGTATAGTATGGCACACTCCTAGAAGACATTTAGGCTCCCATTCACTACCAGCTTCAGGTCCTTTTTGGTTGCGACTCACGGGCGTCGCAGGACTCACCCAACCTTTCGATGTCACACTGTTACACTATGGATTTTACCCCCCCAACCTGATCAAGAATGAACGAGCTTAGAAACAGCCAAGTGAGACACCACCCGGGCGTTGTACAGCGCATCGCTACCCGCTGGTCATCGGCTTCGGGGAAGGGAATGGCTTCATGCGGCCCAGGTATGGTGCTTCTCTCCACTGCCCTGGTTCAGGGATCAACCCTTTGCATTTTAGCTCTTTCGGCCAGCGGGCTCCTTTCGATTGGATTCCTGGTGTTTTCCGGCAGGCATTGTTGTGGGCGTTGGTGCGATTTGCACCATCACTTACCGTGCTTAACGTGGGTTTGATTCGGGGCAGGCTCAAGGTATAGGCCTTAGAATACCACGCTGCATTGTTTCTTGCAGTCCAGATTTTGGGTGTTGGACCATGTTGGACCACCATGATGGAGGCGGCTCAGTAATGAGGCAATCTCAAGTGCTACCCACATGAGCATCCAACCTTGGGACGTGCAGTCCAGAGATACCAAGCATAGGCTCCTCCCTTGAAGGAGCTCCTCCGGAGCTCTGCACGCGTCGCAAACCTGGGCGCCTCAGGTTTTCCAGGGCGCCAGCATGGAAGGTTCTAAGCTTCGTGTGCATGGGTGTGACCGCCGTGGGCTGGGGCATGGGGCCACTTGGAGCGAACGAACGAAGCCTGGACCGGTGGCGGTCCCGGAGCCCTGGTTCATCACCCTGGCAGGTGGTCCATTCTGTGAATTCTCAACTGAGAGGCCAGGATTGAGAAGTGACAAGCTTGGTGTTGGGTTATATATCTCTCTCCCTCTCTCTCTCTCTCTCTCCCTCTCTCTTCTCTCTCACGCTTTTCGGCACACCCCAGGAAAACACGCGCTCTTGAGCCTTGAGATGGCTTTGTTGTGTGACCCCGTCCCCGTCTCAAAGTGCTAGTGCATCCTCATGCAACAAATCCAAAACAGCCTTGCACCAGTCCAGCGCAACGCAAGCATCCTTTGTTCCTCCACAGCTCGAGTAGCAGGGGAAAGTCCAGTGAGCTACATGTTTAGCAAGAGGTACCAGTAAGGCTATAGTTTTACTTTGGCACTCCAGTGGTACCAAGAATCACCACAAGACGTCAGCTCTGCTTTGCTAGGCTGGTTTGAAGGGGGATCCAGGATCGCTCCGCATCGACCAGCGAGGCTCTATGACGAGGCCAAGTACTTGTACCCCTTCCATTTCTATGAGCGAAGCCCTAGCTATTTGTCAGTGGACCTCACTTCAAAGCCCGGGTCCGTGGGAGATGCAGGCCAGATCCTCAGGGGTGAAGTGATCAGCCAAGAAATGTCAATGGTCACGTTTCATGGTGCTTCATGTTTGTCCAGTGTTTGGTAGACCCACTCAGACATACTTAGACTTTCAATCATGGAGCGGACCGACATGAACTGGCACTAAACTCTGAACTTGCTTGTTGTCCTTTCCACTGGTTTCTATGACAAAAGCTACTGTTTACCTTAATTGTGGTTGCCGCATTCAGAACCCATTTCTTCTTGGCGATTGGGTGTCAAAACAGAGAGGCTTTCTCTTGATTGATTGGGCTTTCTGAACATGGAAGGCAATCCTCTCGCTCAACCGGGTCATGTGCACTTCTTTCACAATCAAAACAGTTAGCATCACAGTTCCCAAGCTGTTGGGGTGTGACTCATCAAGAAAAGTTTCATCATTGATAATGGACTCATCATCCATTCATCATCCACATTGTTCTTTGTTGGGATATGCGCAGGCACATTGCATATTGATATATATATATATATATGGATGCTCGCTTTGGTGCATTCTCACATACTTTCCTGGATGTCTTAATTTGTTTTAAAAAGACCCGCAGGTAGTTCTGCCACTGGATCCTGTGCTTCATCCCAGCTGCGCTAGACGCCCCAGCTCCTGGGCCAGGCTTCCTTCGATTCCAAGATGGCACCCATGTGGACAGCACGCGTGGGGTTGGCTTCGTCTCCGGAGCCCTTTGGTGCGCTGCGCCGGTCGCCCTTTGGAGAGAAATCACTGGAACCCTTTCTGGTGAATCCGGGAACGGCCGAGATGAAGTTGCATGACTTGGTCAACATTCTCGTCAATTCACCACGCTGCCCCGTTTTTGCCCTGATGTTGACAGATGTGCTCTCTTACGGGGTGGGCCATATGGTCGGCACTGGCCCCCAAAAAACATCCCCCATGATTGGTCCGGTCCTCTATAAAATGAGCATCTGTTTCCACTATGAAATGGGATAAGGAGGCTCACTTTATAGAAATGGTCCGTTCCGATAACGGACATAAGAGGAGGCAACATCATTTCATAGAGTAGAGGGGGGGATATTGTTTCGCTGGCTCGAAGACGCAAGCCTGGACAAATCAGACTGGAGAACATTTTGTCATATTTTGTTAAGAAAAAAACAACAATAAAAAACAAAAAAAATATGGATGGTTCTAAGAAGAAGACTGCAGGAGCGACGAACAAAAAGGACAGAGATAAAACATGAAAAGTGAAGCATACGCTGACCAAACCTGCTGTGGCAAAGTCATTTTATAGAAGTCAGCTGCTTCAAATGATATGAGGATATCAACTCAAGGTCAACCCATTTTATAGATCCCAGGCTTGGCCTCTAACCTCTTTGTCGTGGATGGGCCTGGACATGGCTACCCATTTTATAGAAAGGTTGGTTCTTCATTTTATAGAGAAATATGATGGTCATATCATTTTATAGACGGTATTCTCTATAAGATGGAGTTCTGGCAGGATGTTGCCCCAGTCAAGGGGGATCAAAAAACAAAGAAAAGACTGGCGTTGGAGGGTGGGTCGATGGATGGAATCTTAAACACTGTTGTAGAAAAAACGTTTCAGTGATTGCATGTTGGCGAGCTCTAGGTAGTAATATATTATATATATACGATCTTATTTACGGTATATATATCTTAGTCTGTGTCCAAATTCCAACACATGGGCAGCAGATGGACGGTGCCACTGCAGCAGATCCACCACTGGGGCTTGGCCGCGGGGAGCTTTCACCAAGGGTTGTGGACCCAGCCTGATATTTCTCTGCAAAGCTCACACGAAGTGTCCGTCTTCAACGGCGGTCGAGGTGCAGAACGATTCCGTGACCTCTGCCAGCTATTGGGCCGTGGGCAAGGACTGCTGCCGGATGAGAGCTTGGTTCAATTGTGGCGATGCTATGAGCCCTGGCGGTGCTATGTGTTCCCAGCCGCAAAGGCAGCCAACAAAGGAGCCGCCCACTACGGGTTCGTTTATGCACTTTTCGTCGTTAACGCTATGCACTTTTGGTCCAATTCTGGGAACGCTCTCCGGGACATGTGGAAACCTCACTCAGCCCTGGCCCTGCCAGCCATCTGGACTCAGGAACCAAAGCGTCCGCAGTGGTGTGGTGATCCGAGACGCCAGTCCAATACTTAAAGGCCGCGACTTGTACGTCGATGTTTTGACGCTTGAATGAAGCACCATTTGGGCACCAAGACAAAGGTGGAAGTGGATGGCATGGCGCTTTGGGTTACCCTTTTCCTCTACAAACAGGTGCTTACCCACTTCCATGACTATTTCGGGGAGTGTATGCCTTTGGTGACACCCGGATACACGGCAGAAAGCGCTTTATTTTGACATGACTTGTCATGTCGGAGACGTATCGAAGTGGGTCAAACGCTCGGGATTCGCCTCCCAACGAACTTGCGACCTTTCCCTTCTCCAGTCACAGGCGAGCTGCCGCAGTACATGGCGGCTGCACGGATGGCTGCTGAGACCTATGGTATGAACCTTCCTCCGGATCCGGTCTTCATCCGCTGGAATGACACGCCGGAGGCCAATCAAGCCTGGTATTGGAGCCTTGGGACCGAAAACCATACCAGGCAAGACGTCAAAGAGGGATGCGAGAAAGACCTTCCTTCAGTGGTGGAAGCTGTTGATTCGGCCCCCTAGAATAGCATTTTGATTGATAACACCCCCAAGTGGATTGTAGAATCTCGGCATATGCGGGGTTTATTCATCAAGAGTCTACATTAAATTAGTGTATGATGTTCCTGTGGCTGAACTTTCATACATGAACCACGTGAAGCTGCGTGATGTTTTATGTTTGCCCGAAGCGTTTCCAGGTCACGTCGGCTGGAAAGGTCGAGTCGGTAACCGGTCGGTCTCCTGGTTTTGACCCACAGCCACAGGTCATGTTGACGCGTTGCATGTCAAGTCATGGTGTTTACAGGTTCCAGTTGCAATTCATTGACCCTGCCCTTTATCCAACAATAATCTTGGACGGAAGTGGACAATGACTCCTTGAAAGACACATGTTGTTCAGAAACGTTCAGAACGCCGACAGCTCTGGGTCGGCTGGATGATGCTGTGCAGGGTGGAGGGTGCCCATGCCAAACCCGGGGTGGTTGGTTTCCCTTTTTCCATTTTTCTGTCTACTGAAGGCCGCAGCTATCCTTTATTTAGTAGGAGCTTGGTGCAGACTTCATCGGAAGCAGCATGGTGAGACGCATCCGGGTCACTGTTCCCTAGGACTCCAATCACATGCTCATGCAGAAGGTAGCTAGACCCCAAAAGCCTACTACCCCAACCACCTTGTGAGTAGGTAGTTGGAGCCCTAGGGGGTTATGAGTGATGGATAGGGCAGATCTTCACAGCTGAGGAACAATGCAGTGAGCTTTGTGATTTATTCGCTCTTGGTCCCTTGGATGTGTGCGTGGTGGGGCTTGATTTTGAGATAGCGGTGGGCGGTGGGACGAAAGAGTAAGCATGCTGCGGCCGGAGTATGATTCATATAGAAACAACATGAAGCAATCTATGAAGAGCATGTAAGCAGTCATATAATATAGGAATATATATATATATGATACTTAATGATACTATATGACACTTGCTTTTCCGGAGTCACTTTATGAACAGACAGTGCTTCATTGAGCGGTTCGGAGTGTCCGGAACATCCGAGCAAGATTCACCCTGAATCGAAGAGCCCCAGAAGTCTCACGAACATGACCTGGCTGTGCAACAAGCAGTCGATTGCCCTTTTCAAAAATTGCAATCCCACTCCCACACGTTGTTTCGGTGTTTTTCCAGAACCAAAGACTGAACGATCCACTTAATTCCGGGAGCCCTGTCACATATGTGTCAGAATGCCGCTAGATGAGTCCGACAGTTGATCAAGGAACGCTTGGTGGACTGCTTTTTGGAACGGTTTGAGTAGTCGCACCCCACTCAAGGATGAAAGCCAGCTTTCCCAGTGAACACTTCTGTGTGCCGGGTTGTGTAGCTTATTTGGTCTTTGCTTACGCTCTTGTGAGCGTGTGAGGTTGTTTTTCTTATTGTTGCTGTTTGGATCATTGCATTGAGTAACAGTTCAATTAGAATTACTTATACTTCACAGAGTTAACCTTTGAATGCAATGAACAAACAAAGCTTTCTTTGTCCCCCCCTATTCCGTACGGTGCTTGGGGCCGTTGGTGGGAGTTTGCTTCCAGATGGTGCCAATATGGACTTGAGCAAGCGCCATTGAATGTTTTAGTCGGGGGATTGAGCAGGTGGGCCTGCTTGGTTTGAATCTCCAAATCTCACGACCAAGGTCTTCTTGCTATTGGCACCATTGTTCCTGCTTTTGCTGACCTGCACCGGAGCCTCCCTTTTCGGCATGGAGGTGTGCGCATGCCATGGGGATAACTCACTGTCACTGACATTGAAGGATATAGTATATAGTTAACGACCTAACTCTTGAGACACTTGAGACACTCGTACATCCCAGAAGACTTCTATGATTTGACCAGCCGTCCACATCGTGTCCAAAGTTGTAGGGTCGCAGCTTTTGTCATATGGAGACCATCATGGATTGCTCAAGGTTCCTCAGGTTTAAGACGTTTAAGATGTTCCATATTTCACCTGAGCGGCCCCAACCCCATTGTTTTGTATGGGTTGTCATGGCAACTACAGTCCGAAGTAGGTATTATCAAGAATCAAGGGGGTTCTACCAGGTGGAAGCCTGTGGCTCACCTGAAGAGCCTCTACCAACGTATTTTTTCCCCGGTTCAGCCAGACGTCAGGCGAGCGAGAGGTTCCATCCAGAGAAGTTGGATCCTTGGGAGGGAGATTGTGAGATGGCTGTGGGTCAAGATGCCAGTTGACCCATAGAAAAGGCAGATTCCTCTATATTCTTTGGAAAATGAGAACCGTTCTTCATTTGTGGGGTGAGTTTTGTTTTGACCCATGGCCAATGTTTTTGTCCACCATGTTTTTTTCCCACTCTGGGAATGAGGTCCCCTTGCGATATTGGAGCTGCAGGAGCGTTCTTGCACAGAGTTATAAGCATTGTTTGTTCTTTTTGCACAGGTCACTGACAGCAATCCAAGGATCTAATCAGCTTTGGCTTTGACTGGACGCCCCGAGCATATCCTGGCTACCTTCGCCAGGCGAACGGTCATGGGACTGAAAACGGACGACAACAACTACTTGAATATGAGTACTGCTACTGGATTGGCTGTTTATAAGAACCCTACCAGCGCATCCGAGAAACAAATATATAAGACTGGGACCCTGTCAGTGGTAGTTTTCGCTGCAGCAGCAGCAGCAACAACAACAACTGCAGCAATCAGAGCCGAACAAGTACAATAGCATATAGTAACAGAGTAACACTTGGATATTTCAGTCCTTGATTGCAGTGCAGAGCAGCATGGACCAGTCTTGATTGTAATCGATATAGTTGGGTTCATCACCTGCCTGACAGACAAAAACATTTAATTATTTGTAGTCTAATCGGTCCATGTACAGTATGCGGAATACTTCCTAAACACTACATAGACCCCTAACAGTGGCAGTTAACACCACTTATACATGAAGTGGCCAAAAACTGCTCGCAGCTGATTCATCCGCAAAAGGCGGCACCACTTCACACTGCTGAACTCCGTCTCGTCACTGTCGTCGGTGTCCGGCGCGGATTGTCCATCCCAGTCCCCAGGACTTGCTGAACAATCGGAGCTTCTGGACTGGGGAAATCATCGAAGACTACCTGTTTCACGCAGCTGGGCCGCCAAAGCGGTATTTCGGGCGGCGGGCGGAACTTGGTGTTTGATTCCTTTCTTTTTCCCGTGAAAGCTAGCACCAGCTAGCTGGGCCTCTAGCAAGTGTTTGTTTTGGTCTGGGGCTGGAATCGGCTTTTGTTCGTTCTTGGGGCATCTCGGACTGGCAATAATGACCAAGGAGCTGCCAGCGCTGGCTGCCAGATCATAGCTGGTCACCAGATTGTAAATCATATTTATATATATATATACCATGTCTCCCCTGCCTGCTTGATGCTCTACGACGGCAAGAGCAGTTGAGACAGGCAGCTGGTGGCTAGTTGTCACAATAGAAATTGCAGAATGATATATAAAGATTATTTGGGTCTATTGCACATGTTGGGGCCTTGCTTGTCGCACTCTCTGCAGTTTGGGTTCAAATTTGCTCGATGTGATAGGAGAAGAATCATGGCCGATCGTCAACTGGAACAGTCACAGAACATGCAAGTGTCATGAAGATCATACCTATATGCCTATGTCATATGATCATTTATATACTCATATATATATATATACATACCCCGATTAAGGCTGGTGACTCACATCCCAAGATGTCAAAAAGGTTTGGCCAAACGAACAGCCTTCAGGATTTGAGGCAGGACTTCTTTTCGGTGGATTTTTTGGGTGCAAAACTGACATTTGCGTACATCAACCAGCTTTCCCCACTCGAAACTGGAACACCCCAAACTCCTCGCAGTTTCAGAAAGTTGTCCAGCTGAACCTGACAAAACAGAGACACTGGGCCACTGGGTCCTCATTTCGTCCATTTCGGTGTTCGGCACGTCTTGCACCAAGCGAGGGAAAGGGGACCTGGAACCGACCCACATGAACTCCTTTTCGCCGACCCACATGGCCGACGTGGGTCGCGCTACGTCGCGCGACCCGCGACGTGGGCACCGCGTGGAAGCACATGCTGCGGTGGTGTCGCTGCGAAGAGCCAGCGGACTTCGTCCCCGTGGAGGTGACGTGACGCCAAGCCATGCACCTCAACCGGGTCACCGGTTGGGGGTCGCTCCAACTCGCACCCCAAAGCATGGGGTGTCCGGGACAGACTCTGATACCCTCCGTTCAGACTCTAGCAATGTCCGTTCAAACTCTAGCAGCTGTTCGATCGAAGAGGTGACCTGTTAATTGGTCGGAGTTCCCAGGGTTCAACTTGGTGTTTTTTTTTTCTGGAAAGCTAGCACCAGCTAGCTGGAGTTGTCCTTGCTTTAGCAAGTGAGGGGCTGGAATCCTCGAGATCGCCGCATCACGTGAAAACTTCATATGTAGAGGGGCCCCCCCCGCGGGTTCAACTCCCCCCTGGGACGCCTCTGGGCATGACACCTCTTGGACACCTCTTATGGCATCCACTTTGGTTGAACTCCTCCGTGGAGGTTTTGGGATACGATGCAACAGATTCAACAGATTCACAAGCTAAGGTTGGCTGTGTCATTGCTGTTCGTGTGTCTTACATGTTCACAACGTTTTACCTCATGAGCGAGACCTTGTGAACCATCCTCCAACAGCCCCATGCCTATGAAAAAAAGATTTGCCTCGCTCCGCTTGATGTCCCACCAGTCCTTTGTCACTGGACGGCGCTGTATGCTTCGCCTCCACTGACACGGATGCATCCCTGCTAGCTTTCGTCACCTACCCTCGGCCTCAAGTTAAATATATATGATTTACAATATCGAGATACTTGTCATTGTGTTTTTTCACCTGAAGTCCGAGTCCTGTGTGTTTTAGCAACCTTTCGCCCAGGCATATTAAAGAACAAGAGGTGAACAAAGGATGCGTTTCTTTTCTCCGCCTTCTGAGTGGGGGGGTGGGCCGCATCGCTGCGCCTTCAGCAGGTGCTGGCGCAACCCACCTTGGAGGGCGGCAGCGCGGGCGGCACAGCGGGCAGCTGCACACTGGACGTTACTTCGTTTGAGGTGGACGACCTTGCTCCACTCCAGGACGCAGGGTGACGTCTTTCTCTGAAGGCATCAGAGGGAGAGGCAGGTGATCCAAGTAAGTGAAGTGAAGACTCGGGTAAGTATAAAATATATAGATCTGAAAAGATTCTTTGGTGCAAGTAGCTGGTGTTTGTTTTCGGCAGCCTTTGCCATTGTTAAGGTGAGCCAGGCATCAATCAACGCCAGCGTCTATGCTGAAGTTCAGTGCGTGTTTGGGATGCCCACCCTACCGTCGGTGCCACATCACTATAATAAGATGTTCCTCATCAGCTTAACGTTAACATGTATTGAAGAACCATTTCCTTCTTTGGAGTTGATGACCATAATGTAAAAACGCCATCCAGGGCCCGCACTTATGTGCCACGATGAAGCACAGCACACAAAAAGGACATGACAGACAGACAGACAGACAGATCACGGCAGCTCAGCAGGAGCCGCCCATGAAGAGTGGCCAGGTGTGGTTCTTGCAATGTCTAGACGCAGATCGGCCGCTGCAGACGCTTTCTCGAGTGAGTCAGTCAGTTTTTTTCGAGCGCAACAAGCAACAAGACGGGCGGACTGGCGGACCGTGACAAGCAAACAACCCATGTCAATATATGTCAATCCATTCAGCCCAACCCAGTTTTTTCTCCACCTTTGACCTCCAACCCCCTATGTCACCGCTCCACGTGGGGTCCTCCGTATGGTGCGAGGGTCGCCCTTCACGAGACATACGGTCTACGCCCGAGGAACATGTCGAGGGTCATGCTCTCGATCCACATCAATGGTCTATGCATTCGAGACTTGGTGGAATGTGGGTGCGGACATCGGGGGACAAAGGGGCGGAACGAATAGCCTCGAACCTGCGACCTCTATTTGGGACTGACCAACCACCAGACATCTATATGACATGTTCTCTCAAAAAAAACCGTGGTCAAATGGGTGCCACAACAAAAAAATCCAGGTTATGCTGAAGGCTTTGAACCTGACACTTGAATCATTTATCCGTAAAAAGGAACACATTGGCAGGTCTACTTCCCCTCACATGCTGCAGGATACAACGATAGCCGCCCGGTGCGGTCCCTGGCCTGGTCGCCCTTTGCCGTGGTCCAAGCGTGCCGATTCCACGCGGTCTCGGCCGATGAGCGTTGCTCGGGCCTGCGGCTCTTCAAGATTTGCGACTTTCACCAGGGCGTTCCTCGGTAGCTTCCAGGATCTTCTGATTTTCTTTGGATCAAGGGCACTCATGAAGGTCTTGGAATTCAAGACTGCAGTATGTTGTCTAGGAGAGAGGCTGGTTTTCCTGCGAGATCTGGCATAGAGTCCCAAACATCCTCCTGCTTTTGTGATCTTGTAAGGTTCATCAGGGTGCGCAGATGACATCAGATGACAAGATATTGCGGAATTAAATGAACCTCCAATTGATGAATTTGTATGACAACACATTTACATTGGGTGACATCGGGTGACCAATGTTTACCCCTCAGTCACTGGTTGGGTGGGTTCCTAGATGCGACTAATAGTGCGACTAATGTCGCGCTTGAAGGTGCTGGAGTTGATTCAATGTGGTGCAGACAGACAGGGTCAACACGTCGACATGTTTTTTTGCCTTGGAGTCGTGGCTGACCTATGAGGGAAGTCCAAAATTGTTGCCGCGCCTTAGAGCGGAATTCTGAATAAAGATGATTGGCCTTGATTCTGAAGAAAGACCACGGTAAAAAGATGTGCAAAGCACCACCCACAGCTCCTTCCATTATACACGCATTTCACCACCGGACTGTCGTTCCACCCACTAGTGACATGTGGCAAAGCATCAGTGAAATGAGCAATGAAAGTGGCTCCCCTAAACGCACAACTGCAAGCCTGGGTGCCGGGGTGTTGATTGTTTTGCAAGCCTGGATGGTTGGTCGTGACACATTACTGTATACAATGACAAATTTGGTCCGGTTCCTCACGATATTCGCTACATGGAAAACCGCTCGGCCGGTGCCGGCTCAGGTATCTTGTCTCTTTGCCGTGCAGCATGCACAACCTCAGGAAGCACTTGGGGAGCGAGCCAAGTGGGTTGCTGCAGTGGCATGTGCAATACGCATGTTGACGCTGTCGCTGTTTCCTGCTTCTGGGCATGAGAGAAAGTTGCAAAAGAAACATCTCTACTGTATTACTGTAGTCTTTTGATTTATCATGATTGATCAAATTTGATAATGTTGATCCCAAGCTAAAGATTCACATGCACAAATATGATATAACCATAACATACATGTTTGTATGATGACTTTGTATGTATACTTGGTCTTCGGCCACCGGCCACCGGGGCTGTCAGAATCTAGATATACCATGACATACCGGTCGCGCCCTGCTGGCTGTTAGCTCCAAGGTCTCGAAACCGGTCACGAGGCCGAGCTACTTGCCATGGACGAAGACGCGCTTGTTGGCGGGTCACTTGCTGCTCTTTGATGAGCATGGCGTCACCACGGTCTTTGGCGAACTGCATGCGCCCTTGGAAGAGACGACCAGCCTGATGGCCTATGAGGCACAGAGCCATGGAGGGTCTGTCGGCTAAGCGCTAAGCCGGGAGGCTGTTGAGGTAAGGCAAGGCTGTTGGAAGAGCCCTGGGTAGCGAACGAAAGGAATCCAGTTGTACTGGTAGGTGGGCTGTTGAGGTGGCTCCAGTTGTAGGAATCTGCACCGAACACCGAGGACGACTCCTGCCAGTGCCTTTTAGTGAGCCTGACTATTGATGCTATCTGTAGCGTCACTGAACGGTTGGGTGTGGACTGCAGTTGCTTCAGCATCAATGACTACCACTTTGCGGCGAGAAGTGTGGCTGAGAAGCAGTTGTGGCTCAGAGCCATCAGCAATCTCAAAGTGAAGCTACGGCACGCCATGACACATGGCTTGAACATCTTGAAACAACTGAAAAACGCTGAAACAGTATGACCCTCACATGACACCGTGGTTTATGGTGGTTTGCTCTAGACTCTAGACGCTTGCAAATTCCCTAGATCTAATTAGTTAGCAACAGAAGACATCACTTATTACATACAGTAAATTAATGTATTCACATCTCTGGACCCTCTAATGTATGCACATTTTGGTGGCCTCTAACCCGGCGATTTCTTTTTGACACCCTCATCGTGAAACATGTCGTTTCGTGTATGCCTTGGCGACTCAACAAGCAGCTCTAGCTCTCTTAGGATGCCCACCAGTGAGCTAGAGCTCCGCTACTACCGCATCGCGGTGGAGGAGCAGATCGCCAAGCTGCCGAAACCACGATGGCCCGAGTTGAACATGCCACTGCTGCGGCCACGCGAGCGCTTCTGGCCGGTGTGCGTCCCGGGCGGACCGAGCGTGGCTGCGGGCTCGAGCCGTGAAAGTTCCCCCAGCGGCCTCACACAGGAAATGTTCACCCAAACCAAAACGGTTGACTTGTGAAAAGAGCGGATTTGTGCGCTGCGCGCTGGGGTCAGCAGAATCATCTCTAGCAAGCTGCCAGTCGATCTCAAGCCCAGTTTCATTCTGATAGAAATCCAACAAACATGAACCATTGTGACTCTTTAAGACCATCCTCTTGCATCGCCGAACAGTTGCAACCACAGGTCCCTGCTGAAGCCGTCCAGTTCCGGTTCGTCCGGTCGACGGCTGTGAACGCCACCGATGTCGGTTGGACACCCGTCGGTTGGACGCCAGAACTCAAACATGCAGCGATTCTGTCCGGACCACCCGAACGCCATTGCGTAAAACGCGAAGTCAGACGAGAGGTTTTCCGCTTGACCGACCGTTTTTGGATTCCCCAGTTTGATCGCTTTGTGCTACCGAGAATTGGCGTCGTTTGTTGTTTTCCCTGTCAGGACTATTGGCAGCAGGCAGTTTTACAAAGCATGAGTCCGGAAAAAGATTGGCAACATATTATGAGTGTTCATGGCGGATGTCGCATGAGTGTTGATAGCCAATTTGCAAAGGTTGCATGATTTTGATATTATTTGGATATGCACTCATCTCTTGTGGGTTTATTGTTGTTTCCACACTGTTGTGTCCAAATCTGGCGAGTGTTTGGTTGTTTTTTTCGTGATTCGGGGAGATGAAGACTGAAGACTGAGGCAGCGAATCGCCATGTGTACTTGAGCTGCTTGCTGAGCCATCCAGCACATCCATACAAGAAGTGGCAGCGCATCATTGTGGCAGGAGTTGCCACAGGCAATTGGGACAGCATGAGAGGGGAGTCTTCCCAAAGGTAGGATCATTAGGAGGTGATGAGTGGGAACCGGCATACGCTGGGCATGCCTTCAGAAAATATTCATGATGAAAAAGATCCAACAAGTGTATCAAGGCTGATAGAGGGCAAGTCAAAGTGACACGTGGCGGAACCTTAGCATCCCTAGTAGGTTGGAGGCCATCGCTATTAGGTTGGAGGCCATCGCTAGTAGTTACAGCATACAAAGAAAAGAGACACTTGTTTAATCCGCGTTGGGTGCCTGGCCCAGTTGTCAGCTGGTCCTTGGTTGCAGCAGTGTCCACCTGGGCCAGCTCCTGGATGCTTCGTGCCCTGGCTGGTTCGGCAAGGCTTTTGGGTGGTGGTGCCGGTGCTCGTTTTCACATTGTTGCAAATCTATGCAACTGTTGACCTCACATGACCTCACCGTTTATTGAAGAGAAGTAATTAGCAAGAGTTGATATCTCATCTCAGGTCATCAGTCATCCACGAGCAATAACGTATAATAACGTGCAAATGTTCCCATGTGAGCTGCTTTTGCACCCTCCTCCCTTTCGGCGACCGTTCAGGATCGTTCAGGTATAGGGGCTAAGTCCACCCAACAGCGCAGACACAGCTCATTTGATTAGGTGCGGCTATGGTAACATTTAAGCAGGCCCTCCTCCCAAACACACTGATGGTGCATGATCTCTAGAGCTGGAATTGATGCACTTTGAGCCGGCTTCGGTCTTTTTTTGCATGACCTGCTTTGAGGATCATGGTTTTGGCACGGCAATTTCACTCAATTGGTGTTCTTCACTGTCCATTTGGACCTGAGGAAATGTGATGATGATCTTCCTTTGCCTCACCTTCCGCAACGCCTTGAAGCTCGTGTTTCTGGGACCAGACCTGGCCTGGGGACAGCCAAGTCCAATATGAAAGATTCACACTTGGAGAACTCCAAGTGTGCGGAGAGTATGTTTGGTGCATAGAGAGCAGTTTGCCGCAGCAATATGTTTGGCTTCCATTTCTAGCCACGGAAGCGTGTGACAAAGCACACACCCCTGCCCAAGGCCTTCGAAACCTCCCAGAGCCGGAGCATTGATCCCTGTTGACTAATGACCTATAGACATACAGTATATTATATTATATAGTCTCTTTGTCTCTATGCTTAGAGCCCTTTGACCCTTGCTTTGATGGGAAGGGGGGCCATATTTTGGATCCGTGGTACTCCCTAATTATCGGCGCCCCTCGGGTTCGAACGGTATAGAGAGACCATGGTGGACCTCCAGTGCGACTGGTCTTCACATCTATCCGCGATCCACGTGCGAGGTTTATCTCCTATGGGGTCCAGACGGACTCGGATCAGCATGTCCACCATTCAGCCACCGCCTCCTGGTGATCACTGCAGTTGTTTCATCGGGCCGGGTGGCTGGGCGGGTTTTCTTATTTGAGCTCAATCTAGGAGGAAGTCGTTGCACTGGTTGGAGGGCCATCGCTGGTAGGGTGGAGGCCATCGCTCTTAGGCTTGGGTTGGAGGCCATTGCAATTAGGTTGGAGGTAAAATTTGAGCTCTAGGAGGAAGTCGTTGCAACCCCTCTCCCTCATAGCCCATCCAAAAGCCACAGCTTTACGAACTGGCAGCCAGTGGTTTTCCAGTCCGGATCTGTCGCAGCATCCCTCTACATATTGGGGATTCTAGCAGGTTCTGTACCATCCCTCCACATATTGCCGTCGATCCCTTGCATCTAAAATGGCGCTCCAGGGAGAACCATGGGTCATTCTATAGAGAGATGCCCTGGTTTTTTTGTGACATGTGGAATGTGGCGGACGATCGTTTCACCTCAGAGCAGTAATCTTTGCACCTGGAGGATGTCCATCAAACCTGCAGGATTGCATTTGAGGACATGAAACTTGGGGGTGTGCATGACCAGTGAAGAGAGTCTGGAGTTATGGGTCTTTCTTCAGGGCTGTAAATTTTTTTCTTGACGCAAATTTCTAATTATAGAGGCCCGCCGCCCGCCTTTCATTTTTCGTGCTCATCACGTCAAATATTGGTTTGCGTTTTGTAGAGAGCTTTGTACCTTCATCATTGTGTACTTCTGAGTCAGGAAGATCGTTTTATAGAAAGTTTGCTTGCACATCTTACACGTTTTGCATATTCGTCTAGAGAATGCCCCGGTGGTGATGGATGTGCGGGGGATGTTTCATTTTACGATCTGCCTGGATGGACGTTTCAAAGAACAGCATCATTCTAGGGTGGTTGGGTGGTGTTGGTCCGTGCAGAGGCTTCAGACTTCAGCATGAACCAGTTGGGCTTAGCTCTACTCTTCATCCTCTTGGCCGTCTCCACCTGCGGGGCTTCGATGGCCCTCATCAACGCCAACGCGAAGAGCTCCAGCGGCCACTGGGCGGGTGGATTCTCTCCGCCGCCATTGGAAGCGGGATTCGAAGGGTTGAAAGAGTCGGACGGTATTAAGGCGGTGTCTTTGGCACCGGTGTTCAGGCACCCCAAAAAAATTATCACCCAAGATATGTTTCTTGTTTCATGGCCTGAAGGAAGTTCACATCTACCAGGATTGGTGCAATCTAGCTACAGTACCTGGAATGTTTGAGAGCTCTTCGGCACTTGCCAGTTGCATCTTTGGCGCATTTGCACAAACACGGAAAAAAGAAAGAAGGTATGCAAAAGAAGGGACTGCAAGTGTGGTTGACATTTTCTTGATGTATAAATTGTAAATCATTGTACATCCTCTGGTGAAATGCATTTCTTCCCCATCCTTGGACCGCAAATCGATTCATGGCGCGTCAAGACCCAGTGGGGCTGGGCTGCTCCCGGAGTCGGTGCAACGGTAGCTGTGCCCCAAATCATGCGGGTTTAGTTCTATGCCCGGAAATCATTAAATATATATTATTATTATATATATATACGTATAAATATATATATATTGTAGTATATTACGGATCTATTTATATTTGCATATTTACAAACATCTAAGCATATTTCACAAGCACTATGGACAATTATGCACACTATATATTTATGAATATGCACAACACATGTACTGCATACTTACTTATATACTTACCTGTGTTCTTTTAAAGGTGCCCTGGCAGCTACACAGAAATAACCCGCACTTTCTGAAGACATGCAACGTTTGGTTTATGCGGAGCCAAACTTTCAGCGTTTTGAGGTGAGGCGATGTCCGATAGCACTGACGTCTTCGCGTACATGCTGCCTGGGAGCACAAGATCGCACGTGTTGCTTCCGGCTTTTGGAGTTGGCGTCGCGTTTCTCGAGAAACACAGGTGATCAAGTGGAAATCAGGACGAACAAAGCAAAAATAATCGAACCATTGCCGGGCCTTGGACCGCGTGCTAGCGCAGGATGTTGTTACAAAGATCCGTTATGATCCCATGCTTGGATGTTAGTTCATCCCACTACTTTGCCCCAACCGATTGTATATACGTACGCGTAACTAAAAAACTAAGTATTTACATATATTTTTAAAGCAATTCTTGAAGTGTAGAGAGACCCTTGTCAACCCTCCAACGCAACCCTCCAGCTCCAGAGTCCGCTGCAACCCGATGTCAACTCGTTGCATGTTTGGAGAACCGTAGCCACCAGACCCTAGGGATCCACATGCCCTTTGAGGTGATTGGAGACTCTTTTATGCAGACTTGGAGGGTCCAATCACCTTCTCAGGAGAGGGTATGTGGATCCCTAGGGGCCCTAGGGGTGTAGGGAGAAAGAGGCTTTGGTGTCCACGTTTGATTTGTCATCGTTTTGCCCAGGGCAGTCGGCCGGCGCCTGCCGACTGCCCGCACATGTTCAACTTCCCGAGCACGACTTCCAGACCCGTTTGAAGGTATGTCTTGGACTTCCTGGTGGACCTCTTCACCCCCTACCTTGGCCGGGACAACAACCGAAGTAATACATGGGCCATTGGCTTCTTTGGCAGGCGCGTGGGAATGGTAGGAATGCGAAGCTCAAGGGGGCACAGATCGAAGGCGCCCTTTGACACGAGCATTTATGAGAGCTTCCCGGAAGTGGGTCATGATTTTAGGTGCCCATGTAAAAAGATGTTGCGAGAACTGTGAGGTTTCACTATGATTCATCTACTTACCCACCCCACTGAGGGAGCTGGCCTGGGAAGCCGATCAAGCGGAGATGCAAAAAATAAACAAATGTTTTAGCTTCGGGGGATTTGAATCTGAACAAGCTTTGGCAAGGGATGTCCCAACAGAACTCTTCGACAGGTTGAAGTTCCCTGGAGGAGGATGTTCTACAAACGGATGTGTTCTACCCCAGCATGCTGCATGCTACTCTTTTTAGTTGAAGTATTTGACTGCAGTCTCACCCAGCCACCCTTTGAAGCATGTCTGGGGACACCGGTGGCGAGACTTGCGGCAGGTGGGTGTACGAGAGAAATGAGTTTGAGTCCGCCAAGTCGCAGATGCAGAATCAGAAGCCGCATGGCGATGAAGGCCGAAGCCGAATCCCAAACACTCCATGCAGTGGCAAGATATACTGTAACTTACATAACCACTCCTTTGCCCATAGGGACTAGCAAATATGCCAGACTTGGAGTCTTTGGAAAATGGACGCTGGAAGCAATTTTGGAAGTTCACCTGTGGACTGGAGGTGAAGTGTTCGAAAGTGATCCAAAGTCCCATCGCCCTATTCACCTTTCCACAGCTAGGCAACCTTCTTGCAGCTCAGCGAGCAAGCGCTTTGAACGTTTTGAGTCTCAAATTGCACAACCTCCCCGTGGTTCAGGGGGAATACGTATTTCATTGATGTTGTTGAACAAAAAAAGTTGAATCTATTGTGATAGGGTGTGCATTGAATGCACTTCAGCAACAAAGGTACATGAAACACCTAGCTTTGTGTCATGCAAAAAAAGGGATGGATGAGGAGACAGGTGCTGGGCTGGTGTCTTTGATTGAATGATGCCTCAGGCCTCAGCCCGCCGTCCGCACTGCTTCTGTGTTGGAGATCGCTCTGTGTATTGTGAAGTTGGTGTTTTTTGGGGGTGGCTGAGGCATTGAAACCCAACGCAGAGGAAAAACGCAACAGCTTTAGCACAAAGCACTTAGAAGCACCCGGTTAGCAAATCCCTCGTTTATGTTAAGAATCACCTGTTCCCACTACGTCACTACGTTGGGCAAATAGTTATTTGTTCAATGGAACCTCGGTACAAAACCCTAGGGCTGTGCAAGTCCATAGTCTCCAGGCAAGTGTATTATTTTCTCGCCTTGGTTTCCTCAGCGAGTAAGGTTGGACTCAACATAATGATACGCATATGTAGAACAATACTATATATACATAAATATATATATATATATGCTGCAACTGTCCGTTCGCAGACCTGGTGCACCTGTGCATTATCAGGAGTTTTTTTTGTGGTGAAGCCTCAGGGTCCAGCTCAGCGTTCGGATCCAACCATGCATGTGGGGCTATTGGTGCTGGCAATGGTGCTATGGATTGCCATATCATATCTGAGAGCGGGAGGGGATGTGCAGCGGTTGGTGTGATGGTTTGCATCCCGTGCAGGAAACCAGCATCACTTTTGTTTCACGCATTTGGGACCCATGTCTATGCTTTGCTTTCTTTTTTGTGCCTTCATTGCTTCCTTTTTCCTTAACAGGTTCACATCCAGCGAGGCCGTTGGATGAATTGCATGAAAGCCTTTGATCTATTTAGTTGCTGTGGTGAACTAACTGCCCCATTCTTGCTCAGCATTCAGGGTGCAACCTGGAACCATGACAAGCAGCACACCCCATGTTCGGATAGGCGAACTGGTTCCATTGGTCTGACCGGCAAGTCTTCAGTC